AGGGTCGCTATAGGTCGGAACCAACTCAACGGTACTTAACAGCCACAACAATCGTAATGCGAGAGCATGATGGGTACAAATGATAAGCAAACCACAAGGTTCATGGTTCAAACCCACCAGACTCCTTGTGGGAGAAAGTTTAGGCTCTGCTCCTTTGAAGGCTTAAATCCTTGGAAACCCTATACCAGGTTGCTATGAGTCGGAATCAACTTTCCGGCAGTTAATAACTACAATCTTAATGGGAGCCGATTCACCAGATCTTTTCTGAGCAACCCAGCACTTAATCATTGTGCCATCAGGATTGCTGAAAATCCTATGATAATAGCCTATCTCCATATTTATTTTTGTTTTACTTATTTTACTTAGCTGTAAGTATGTTGTTGTTGTTGTTGTTAAGTACCATTGAGTCGGTTCCAACTCATAACGACCCTGTTTAAGGTTTCCAAGGAGCAGCTGGTGAGTTTGAACCACTGACCTTGAGTTCAAACCATCCTTGTGATCCAGTGCTTTAACCTATAGCGCCACCCCAGGACTCCAGTTGTAAGTATAGTACGTACCTTAGTGGAAATGACAGGGATGTCACTTATATATCATACTTTATAGTTTAAAAATAGTGTAAGTATTTTCTTTGCTGCTCTCTGATCCTCATCATTAGCAGTTCTTTAAAATGTTACCAAGCGAATATAACACAATTTACCTACCTGGTTTTTTTAATACTTAGGGAAGTCAGATAATAATAGGTCAGATACATTTATAAATTAAGAATGCCAGAATCAAAATAACCAAGCAAAAAAGGCATTCTGGGGCTCAAAGACATGGTTATAAGTTCTGCAGGAAATTCCATATATAATCCAGACTCATAGACTCAACCAAGACAGAGTGAAAAAGTCTGTCATCATAGAAAGAGCATCCAGCTATTTTTATTTAGAAATATTTCTTCTTTCCCGTCTTGATCTTTCATACCTGAGTAAAAAAGTAGTTTGAGCAGAGGAGAAAGCCCCCAGGCCCCCAAAATATAGTGCTTTTTATCAAATTTTCAATGAAGTTCATGACAAAAAAGAGGTTAAGAAACATTGCAGGAAGTATGCAGGCTTCAGAGAAGAGATAATGCAGCTGTGGGACAGAGGAGGAGGTTGTGGACGAACCACTCTTTAATGCTGATAAACTCAGCTCTGTGTCTCTTGTTTATTTTCTCTCCAGGAGAAGACCGTGTACTGCCTCTCCTGACACAGGACACTAATTCCAAAGCTCGGAGAGGCATTTTAAGAAGAGCTGTCTTTTCTGAGGACCAGAGAAAGGCTCTGGAGAAAATGTTTCAGAAGCAGAAATATATCAGCAAAACAGACCGAAAGAAACTTGCCATCAATTTGGGCCTAAAGGAATCACAGGTACTAATGAACAGCAAGATGGCTACTGCTCCTGATTTCTGAGGGAGTACAATGATCTCCTACCATGTGGCAAATATTGAATGTCCTGGGGCTGGTATTGGACCCTCAGGTGTTATTGCAATGAATTTTCTTAATTTTCAGTGAGTTAAAATACATGTCACAATTCTTATTTGGAAATAGTACTTTTGCTGATAGACCTAGATTTTTTACCCATTGGGCTGATTAATTCTTTCCACATGAAGAGAAATGCTAAAGGCCATGCTAGTTACATCATTAAATTGTTTGCTTTGCATTCAGAATAATAGGCTTAATAATTTCTTACAAAGGCAGGAACCAATTTTCTTGTCTTTCTCTTCATTTCCAATCCAGAAATGAAAGCATAAATGAATGTTTCATTGTTGTTGTTGTTATTTGCTGTCAAGTCTGTTCCTACTCATAGCGAACCTGTGTAGGGTTTCCGAGGAGCGCTGGTGAACTTGAACTGCCGACTTTGCAGCTCAAACCAACTTTGCAGTCCAACATCTTAATCCACAGTGCCACACCAGAAATCATAAATATCTCATAATGGGCATCATGATTTTCTTCTTTAAAGTTTGTATCAAGTAAAGTCAAGTACTCAAAGCAACCTTATAGTGTCCTTATGTTGTTGTTGTTAGGTGCCATTGAGTCGGTATCGACTCATAGTGACCTTATTTATGCACAGCAGAACAAAACACTGCCCAATCCTGGGCCAGCCTCACTGTTGTTGCCATGCTTGAACACATTGATGCTGCCACTTTGCCAGTCCGTCTTGCTGAGGGTCTTCCTCTGTCCCTCTACCATATCAAACATGACACCCTTCTCCAGCGACTGGTCCCCCCTGACAATATGTCTGAAGTATGAGAGATGAAGTTTGGCCATTCCGGCCTCCTATGAACACTCTGGCTGCACTTCTTCCAACAAAGATCTGTTGGTTCTTTTGGCAGCCCATAGCACTTCCAATATTCTCCATCACCATAATTCAAAAGCATCAATTCTTCTACCATCTTCCTTATTCACTGTCCAGCTTTCGCATGCATATGAAGTTATTGAAAATAACATGGCTTGGGACAGGCACATCTTAATCTTCCAGCTGACATCTTTGCTTTTCAACATTTTAAAAAGGTCTTGTGTAGCAGATTTGCCTAATGCAATACGTCATTTGTTTTCTTGACTGCTGCTTCCGTGAGTGTTGATGGTTGATCCAACAAGAATGAAGTCCTTGACAACTTCAATCTTTTCTCCGTTGATAAGAATGTTGTTTATTGGTCCAGTGGTGAGGATTTTTGTTTTCTTTACATTGAGATGCAATCCATATCGAAGGTTGTCCTCTTTGATCTTCATCAGTAAATATTTTAAGTCCTCTTCACTTTCAGCAAGCAAGGTTATATCATCTACATATCGCAGGTTGTTAATGAGTCTTCCTCCAATCCTGATGCCATGTTTTTCTTCATAGAACCCAGCTTCTCGGATGATTTGTTCAGCATACAGGTTGAATAAGTATGGTGAAAGAATACAACCCTATCGTACACCTTTCCTAATTTTAAACCATTCAGTGTTCACATGTTCTATTTGAACAACTGTCTCTTGGTCATGAGCACAATTAAGTGTTCCGGAATACTCAAACTTCTCAATGTTGTTCATAGCTTGTCATAAGCCACACAATCTAAAGCCTTTGTGTAGTCAGTAAAGCACAGGTAAACATCTTTCTAATATTCTCTGCTTTCAGCCAAGATCCATCGGCGTAGGGTCCCTACAGAACAGAATAAATGGATTCCTGGTGTGGCACTGTGGACTAATGCGTCAGACAGCAAAGTTGCTTGAACTGCAAGGTCAGTGGTGCAAGCTCACCAGCTGCTCCTTGGAAACCCTATATGGGGTTGGTATGGATCAGAATTGACTTGATGGCACTTAACAACAACAACAACAAGGTTAGGGGAGAATATTGAAAGTGCTATGGGCTGCCAAAAGAACCAATAGATCCGTTTTGGAAGAAGTGCAGCCAGAGTGCTCTTTGGAGGCCAGGATGGCCAAACTTCATCTCTCACACTTCGGACATATTGTCAGGAGGGACCACTGGAGAAGGATATCATGTTTGGTAAGGTGGAGGGTCAGAGAAAAATCGGAAGACCCCCAGCAAGATGGATTGACCAAGTGGCAGCATCAATGGACTCAAGCGTGGCAACAGTAGTGAGGTTGGGCCAGGATCGGACAGTGTTTTGTTCTGCTGTGCATAAGGTTGCTATGGGTCAGTACTGACTCAATGGCACCTAACTACAAGGTTTCCTAGGAGTACTGGGGTGGCACTTGAACCAAACTGCAAGATCAGCGGTTCAAGCTCACTAGTTGCTCCTTGGAAACCCTACACAGGGTCGCTATGGGTGGGAACTGACTCGACGGCACTTAACAGCAACAACGAGGGTTTCCAGAGCTCTAAATCTTTATCCTGGTGGGTTCAAACTGCTGACTTCTCTGTTAGCAGCCCTGTGGTTAATCGCTGTGCCGCCGGTGCTCCAATGAGTTGAAATAGTAGACTCATGGCATTTTTTTTTTTCTTTTTTTAAAGTCAAGTAATTTCAAATTTACCAAATTTATAAACCTTCATCATATTTTGATGTTGCATACAAGTTTGATTTAAACATTTTGGACTTTGGGGGAGTACAGGAGACTCCATTTAAGTATTGGACTATGTATTATAATAATTAACACTGCAAGGCTGTTTTGCTGTTTAATCCTTTTAATAACCTTATGAAATAAGCACTATAATCCTCTTGATTTTCTAGATAAGGAAATGTGAGTAGTAGACAAAGGCTCTGGTGTGGTACTATACAATAAGCACTGGACTGGCAAGGTCGGCGGTTCTAACCCACCAGCTGTCCCTTGGATACCCTATACAGGGACTCTATCAAGTTGGACACAACTTGATGGAACTTAACAATAACAGCTGACATAGATTCAGTGTCACATAAGGAAACTGCTTTGGAAGGTGGCTCCCAACCCAGTCACCCTGACTAGAGTTTTTTTCTCTTTAACTCAGAGCCACCATACTCAGTTGAGCATGGTGTTTAGTTCACAAGGGAGCTCAGGCAAGAGGCTCAGTGGCAGCCAGAATGCAGCAGGACAAAGCACTCTGCTTGCCATCTGGGTTCCCCTGTGCACACTAAAGCTATCTGAATTTTTAAATTAGCATAAAGGCATTGAATGGATAGTAGTTGCTTTGTCTTAACTACCTTGTTTTACTGTTCTCTCATTATTAAAGATCAGATTTTGAACTTTGGACCTTGTTAACCAATTATCATTGAATGAAACTCTTCTCAGCCTTGCTTCCTTTCCCTAGGGAAGGCAACTCTCTTTCCCTCCCTCCTCCCCCCCAGCATTTTGAAGAGGAAGCAGTATAATATGTATTGTTAATGTTTTTAGGTGCCATCGAGTTGGTACTGACTCATAGCCCTCCTATGCCTGGTCCTAAGCTAACCTCACAATTGTTGCCATGCGTGAGCCCATTGATGCTGCCACTTTGCCAATCTATCTTTCTGGGGGTCTTCCTCTTTTTCTCTGACCCTTTACCTTTCCAAACATGACATCCCTCTCCAGCGACTAGTCCCTCCAGACAATATGTCTGAAATATGAGAGACAAAGTCTGGCCATCCTGGCCTCCAAGGAGCACTCTGGCTGCCCTTCTTCCAACACAGATCTGTTTGTTCTTTGGGTAGCCCATGGCACTTTCAAAATTCTCCTCCAACACCATAACTCAAAAGCATCAATTCTTCTACAGTCTTCCTTATTCACTGTCCAGATTTCGCATGTATATGAAATTATTGAAAATACCATGGTTTAGGTCAGGCGCACCTTAGTTCTCAAGCTGATATCTTTGCTCTTCAACACTTTTAAAAGGTCCTGTGCAGCAGATTTGCCTAATGCAACAAGTCGTTTGATTTCTTGTCTGCTGCTTCCATGAGTATTGATGGTTGATTCAAGAAAAATGAAATCTTTGTTTGACAACTTCACTCTTTTCTCCATTGAGAAGAATGTTGCTTATTGGTCCAGTGGTGAGGATTTTTGTTTTCTTTACATTGGATGCAATCCATATCTTCATCAATAAGTATTTTATGCTCTCTTCACTTTCAGCAAACAAGGTTGTATCATCTGCATAATCACAGCTTGTTAATGAGTCTTCCTCCAATCTTGATGCCATATTTTTCTTCATATAACCTAGCTTCTCGGATTATTTGCTCAGCATACAGGTTGAATAAATATTGTGAAAGAATACAATCCTTTTGCACACCTTTCTTAATTTTAAACCATTCAGTGTCCCCATGTTCTGTTTGAACAACTGCTTCTTGTTCTATGTACATGAGCACAATTAAGTGTTCTGGAATACTCATATGGACAATGTTGTCCGTAGCTTGTCATGATCCACACAATCGAAGGCCTTCAAGTAGTCAGTAAAACACAGGTAAACGTCTTTCTGGTATCCTCTGCTTTCAGCCAAGATCTGTCTGATATCAGCAATGATATCCCTTTTTCTATGTCCTCTTCTGAATCTAGCTTGAATCTCTAGAAGTTCTCTGTTAATGTATGGTTGCAGCCATTTCTGTAGTATCTTTAGTAAAACTTTACTCAACATGGGATATCAAAAATATTGTCTGATGATTTCCGCATTCAGTTGGGTCACCTCTCTTTAGAATGGGCACAAATATGGATCTCTTCCAATCAGTTGGCCAGATAGTTGTCTTCTAGATTTCTTGGCATAGATGAGCTAATGCTTCCGGTGCTGCTTCATTTTGTTGAAATATTTCAATTTGTAATATGTGGTGTAGTAGAAGGTAAATGGCCTAGGTCAGTTAGCCTGTGTTCTCTTCCCAGTGCAGTACTTAGGAGACCATCTCCTTAATCAAGTCAATTCTGCCTCCAACCTCACTTTCCAAATGAGCCCAATATAAGTATTCTATGTCACAGAACAATTTTGTGTATATAAGAGA